CCCCCCACTGCACCATCAGGCCCCAAGATGGATACATTGCAGGTGAGGCAAATTAATCTTCAGCACAGTCAGTCAGCCACCGGGGAACTGGTGAAGCTACTGACAGGTAAGACTGGAGAATTAATTTTAATCCAGGAACCCTATGTTTACAGGAATCGAGTAGTGGGGCTAGGCAGTACCGGCTACAATTGCATAGTCGGGAAGGAGGATGGAGCCGAGCCACCTCGGACCTGCATAATGGCGTCCAAGGAACTCCGAATGGTATCACTACCACAACTGGGGACCAGGGATGCCACTGCAGCCATCCTCGAATATAAGGTAAGTGGAATTAGGCGTAAGGTCATAGTTAGTAGCATATACCTCCCTTATGATACTGGTAGACTACCGCCTACTAAAGAGTTAGAAAATATAGTTAATTTTGCTAAGAATAAAGGTCTGCCTGTAATGATTGGGTGTGATGCAAATGCTCACCACACGGTATGGGGCAGCGGGGATGTTAACTCCCGTGGGGAGGCGTTGCTGGAATATATAGCAACCACAGACCTGCAGGTCATGAATAGGGGAAAGGAGCCGACTTTTGTGAACCGCATCCGGAAAGATGTGATTGACATTACGTTGGCTTCTCAAAGTATTATAGAAGGGATTTCTGGATGGAGGGTCACGGGCTGCATCTCGATGTCCGATCACAGGATGATCGCTTTCGAGATGAAGTCGGATTCGGAAACGATAACTCTCCGACGAAATCCAAGGGCAACAAACTGGGAGGTATATCGTTGTAACCTAGGGAGCTCCCTAGAAGCGAGCAACCGGGGTGAACGAATAACCTCCACAAGGCAGTTAGACAACGAAGTAGAAACCTTAAGCAGTTGCATCGTCTCGGCATATGAGGAGGCTTGCCCTCTCAGGGCGGCAGGTGGGCGCAAGGTCCGCTGGTGGAATAAGACCCTAGAGGGTCTCCGCCAGACGGCCAGGCGTGTCTTTAACCGAGCTGTCAGGGAAGGGGAAGGGACCTCTTGGGACGATTACAAAACTGCAAGGAGAGAGTTTAAGAAGGAACTTAGGCGTAGCAAGAGATCTGGCTGGAAGGCATACTGCAACCAGCTGGAGTCCCTGCCGGAGACAGCCAGATTAATGAAGATCTTAAGCTGCGACAAAAGGGAGAAATTAGAATCATTAAAGAGGGAAGATGGGACTTGGACCACTTCTAGCGAGGAGTGTTTAGAACTTCTGCTGGAAACTCACTTTTCATGTGGAGGCCATGTCGTCGAGGGAACCAGGGCGGAGCCAATGCCACAAGCAGATTGGCTCCTGGCAGAGGAGCTCATTGGCGACGAGGCAGTAACCTGGGCAGTGAATGAGTTCGAACCCTACAAGGCAGCCAGACGGAGTTTTCCCGTCGTTTTTGCAGAGGGGCCTGTACATTCTCTTGCCATGTATGGTGAGGGTCTTCCGGGCCAGTCTGGCGATGGGCTACGTCCCACAGGCTTGGAGGTCAGCCAAGGTGGTCTTCATCCCCAAGGCTGGAAAGGAAGACTACACTGCGGCGAAGTCTTTTAGGCATATCAGTCTCACATCCTTTCTGTTTACAACGATGGAAAGGATTGTGGACAGGTATCTGGTGGATGGGGCGTTGAGTAGATACCCAATCCACACGAACCAGCACGCATATAGGCGGGGCAGGTCCACGGTGACGGCCTTACATAGTGTCACACATAAAGTAGAGAAGGCCCTTCAGTACAAAGAGGTCGTATTGGCAATATTCTTTGATATAGAAGGTGCCTTCGACAAGGCAAAAACTGAGACCATATGCAACTCGCTCCAAGACCGGGGCACATCGCCTATCGTGGTCGAATGGGTGAGTTCCGCATTGAAGGAAAGGAAGGTTAGTGCAGTCATGGGGGACTGTCGTAGGGACCTGGGAGTGGGAGGGGGATGCCCTCAAGGCAGCTGCCTCTCCCCGCTTCTATGGTGCCTAGTAATGGACGGTCTCCTGGAACGCCTAACCTCGGAGGGATACAGTGATGCCCAGGCTTACGCCGATGATGGCGTGGTTCTAGTCGCGGGCCGGTTTTTGGATGTGGTATGCGACAGAATGCAGGGAGCCTGTAGGATCATAGAGAGGTGGTGCGAGGAGATGGGGCTCTCAGTCAACTCAAAGAAGACTGAGATGATCCTATTTACAAGGAGAAGGAAGATAGGTGATTTCAGGGCTCCAACCATGTATGGGAGGCCCCTGACTTTGGTCAGGGAAGTCAAATACTTGGGGGTAATCTTGGACAGCAAACTGTCGTGGGGGCCACAGGTTGAGAGGATTACCCGGAAATCAGTGGCAACCCTCTGGCAGTTAAGGAAGGTAGTTGGCAAAAACTGGGGACTCAATCCAANCCTAAAGTGAAATCCAGTAAATATTTTTTAGCCGTAGTTTGTAATACTTAAATATACAGGCATATTTATTAGACCCGCGCTCCACTTGCAACGCCATCTACAGATACACGCTCGGCCGCGTTATAAACTACTATTGTGAAATGAAAATCGCGGCTACTGCCTAGGTCTCCGCTCGACCACGTTTTGGGGCCCGCGGTGGCGGGCGAAGCCCTATACAATTTAGGTATACCTACGCGGGGTACACGCGGAGGCCTACGCACAATACTCTTGTCTACGTGGGGAATCCTACATACCTACATGAAGATACCTGCATGGGGCCTAGGGGCAAAGTCCTAGATGGGGCAAAGCCCTAGATGGGGCAAAGCCCTAGATGGGGCAAAGTTCTAGGTGACTACATTTTGAATTTCCTGCCATTTTTCATCCGACAAAAATGCTGCGCGCTGATTGGCTGGCGGGGAAGGGGAGGGGGAAGGGAAAAGGAGGAGGAGTGGGGGTAAAATTCGTCAAAAACTGCTAATATGAACCTTCATAAGAAAATACATGGGATTTTGGCGTGATACGAAGGTAGCCTATCTACTGCCCTCAAGGCAGCTGATGCACAGGCTTACGCCGATTTTTGAGGTGGGAAGTAGCTATACATATAGAGTAAAAGCCAGAATTGAAATTTTTATTTTAAAATTTGAGGTTATAAACAGATTTGTTTTATAAAAATGTTGTGTAAAATAATAAATAATGGTACTTCTCTCTTGAGTATTTTCGTGTTTTTTTTTTTAATTTATGAGCACCCTGTATATTTAATCTAAAATGTTTATTTGACAGTCTTGTGGCGGCATGTTACAATAACATTTATATTTAATTAGCAAATAAATTTGTTTTTGTAATTAATATCACATTAATTATAAAATAATTAATATCACATTATATTAAGCTGTATTCAGAGTAAATGACATTAGGAATAAGTACATCATTAATTAGAAGTAGGTACACGACCGAGAGGGCAAATTTTTATCTTAGATCAGGCAAAGAAACGACATTATCAGAACTTTTTATAAAGAGTGACATTTTTTGATAAAGTCAAAAACAAAAGAGTTTCTCAATTAATTAACAATTAAAAACCTGTGACAGTTGTCATGTTGATTGTTACTTACCTATCACGGCCAACCTAAAATGTGCGAAACAGATGGAAACATTTTTAAGAAATGGTAAATGTTTATTCGTAAATAAAATGAAAACCACTGGGTTTAGGTATAACAATGTTACACTTAATTTTAGTGCAGAACGTTAAAAAAATTAGGGGTTTCATTTAAAAATTTCGAATTTTCCACATTTTCTGAACTTCATATTCGCTAATTGTTTTTGACCACCCTGTATAAAAACTGGAAAATTTTCATGTCAAATTCGATAAATTTGGTCTTCCTCTACAAAATGTCCAATTTGCACAAAAAAATAAACCTATGTTTCCGGGAAAACTAAATTTTGCTGACAGTCTGCATTTGTCAATTTTTGCTTAAAAATCAAAATATCTCGGAAATGGTCAATCCTAAGTATGGAGTGTGCTATATGTTTTCAACTTAAAAATGGATGCTCTTTCTAAAAATGCAATAATATACAGTGGGTTCCATTTAAAATAAGAAAGTTAGTATCGACTTCCGGTATAACCGGAAATACTATGACCTTGAAAATATTTTAGCTTGGTAGGCCCTACGATCCGTATGACACCTTCACAATTTCAAAAAAAATCATCCTTCTAGCGGTGTCCCAGATATCCATCGATGGAGTTCGTGGGACATCCTGAGTTGGTACCAAAAGCTTGGTTAGTTATATCTACGCATACTAAAGAAATAATTTCCAAATAATTATGTAAATCTAAAAAATAATGATATTCTGTCGGTCTAGGTGTCATATCAAAACTATTAAATAATATTTCAAACCCTCGGTTAACTTGATTTGATGAGAACTTAGAAAAATGTCTTTTTGTTGAATCTTTTTAAAAGATAATGTTATAAACGAAAGCTGTATACATCCCAGTTAATGGCATTGATTTCTGATGAAGAGAATAAAGTGATATTTCCAAACTTCTTGATAAACAGCATATTTTAAGCATTTGGTAACTAATATCTGTGGTAATCTCCAGGTATGCTAGGCTAAATCTACCAAACTGAGAGAATGAAGACAGGATATATAAAGCTTGGCGTGCCTGGAGTCGTTTCAGATATATATCTTATGTCGTGCATATGTTTGGAGACGACATAAATAAATACAAGCATGTTTTCGGTTGTTTGGTTTATGACAGCTTATTTATTTTCTCATTTATATTAATTCTTCCCGGAACAGATTTAAGATTCGTAATATTCCACGACAGCTAATTTATTGTTATTTATTTATACAACGAGAATTTACCACAGATAGACATCCCTTTGTGTCAGAATTCTATTGAAATACAGCATTAATTGACACAATATTCATTTCTACTTAAATAATGCTTTGGATGAATAAACTACACTTAAATAGTGATACTGATAAGTTCATTTTCCGAACTGATCTCATCTGAATTTAATTACAAACAACAACCTCCAAAATTAAATTTAACTGAAACGAAATTGAAATTACGGTACCTGAAATTAAATTGACCTTTCCTGAAATATTTCTGAAGAAGGATTGTGTATTTTTACATCCTGGAAAAATATGACACTTCTATTTAAAAATAGACTAGATCGCATGGATTTTTATAATAGCCTTATCGCTTGGCTTGGCTGTAGGAATAGAGGTATTTATAATACGGAATGACATTAACCTTCCTTATCGATTTAACAATGTACAGGCCTTTCAGTCATAAAAGTATTAATCTAAACGTACTTTGATACCTCTGGGAATAATTTACATTAAATTAATGGATGGGGAAGTGTAAGGTTTCGGTTCTTTATTAATTAAACTGGCTCAAATTTCAATGTGGAGTAAAACGTAGCCCTACAGAGGTCTAGGTTCCGATTTGATTAAATTTAAAAAAAAGGGTAGTTCGTGAAATTTTATCAATTCTCCGTCTGAATCTAGATTTTGTACTTTCATGCTCATACTAACAAGGCAGATGTAGCAAAACCTCACTCTTTTGTAACGTAGGAGCGATTACAGCCATTAAGTCTTTAGATTTCTAAAATTTTTTAAATATAGTCAGGATGTTCTGCTAATTTACGTTCTAATAAAGGGTGTGAAATTCCATATTTTTACATTACGAAAAAACAGCCGAAACAATTTCGTTCTTTGGTGTGTGTATTTTTTAATATTTACAATTGTACAGGGTGTCCAATTAAGGTCGGCGAGGTACGATATTGGAGAAAATATAGGTCCTAGAGCTTTGGGGGAAAAAAATTGATGAATAAATCGACCAAGAGAAATCGCTGGAAATAGTTTTCAAGTTCGTAGCTCGGCCGCTAGTGGGCGCAATCTACATACCAAAACATATATGGATAACCGGATTCATTGCGCATAACTTTTGTTATTGACTTGCGTTCTATCCCTCGACAGAAATGGTGGGGGAAGACCCTAATGTCTGATCAGCAAAAAGGCATTTTTTTTAATATTGGTTCATCAAAAACCCATAGTGTTATACCTGTTTCCAGTTTTTAAATAAATAAAATAAAATGTATCTATTTTGTCGTACGAAGAAGTGTTGTGCTTATATTTAAGCTCGGATTTTAGTAATTATGAGTCTCTTAAAACAGGAACTTAACTTTTAATCAAGTTATGAATTTGAGAAATATGTAATTAAAGTACCCAAAAATTCACGTCATCTAAATAATCATACGTATTAAAAATAGTCTAGGTACGTACCAAAAAGCAAAATTCAGTAATTTTTAAACGCACAAGTACAAGACAAACTACAACATATGCTCAAAATGTCCATCACCATTTTCAAATCATCAAATCATCAAATTGGAGATTTTGATAATTTTTTTCTCGGAAATGGTTGAGTTTAGGACCCATAAGGTTTTTATGTTTATTTTAATGTATTCTGTCGTGTGTTAAAATTAAGGCAGTCAAACTTCTAATACCCTGTATAATACAGCTGTTATATACAAATTCGGATATTGGTCTTTACGCAACAAATCTTCCCTACTCTACTAATGGAACACAAAAAGTATAACATTATACCTAAGTAATTCCTTATAACCTTT